CAGAGATTGTGTCTGCTCTTAGGTTGAATCATGAGTGATCTGTTTGGGGGAACCCACAACATTTGGTGCATAGGGCCCTGCAGACAGCCGGGTTTAATCATTTAGAAGTTTGCTTACCTTGTGCTTTGCTCAGCCACACAGATTTTCAAGGCACTGCATTTATTGTTTTTCCACTTTTTTGAAATGCAACTAAATGCTGTCTAGCAGCAGCAGCATTAGAAGTTTGCTGCCTTGTATTGCTGTGCTTAAAATGTAAAGTGGGGAAAAAAGAAAACTGTCTAACGAGTGGACAAATGGCAAAACGTGTATAAACAGCAGGCCTCCCTGGAGGGGTGCAGTCCTTACATCCTCATTAGTGGGCTCATGTCTGTACAGATCAGAGGTTTCTCAGATCATTCCTTAGAGGACTTGCAGTCAAAAGCCAAGATTTAGGAAAGTCCTGGGCTGTTTTGATCAGTGAAATGGATCAGTTTTGATCAGTTAGGCAAGAATGATATTGTGCAAACATGCATATGTCAGTGTAAGGAGTAGCATTTAGGGTTAGGGGTTATGCTTGTGTGGGTGAGGCCCTGTGTAGAGCAGAGCATTTCAACCAGCCAAACAAAAATGCTTGAGCTCTTCAGAGGTTCCTTGAACTGGACTATTTTTCTCAGTGAGTTGCTTGGGATTTTCTCACTGAATCCCATTGCTTGGGATTTTCCTCTTGCCTCAGCTCTGACATGTGGCTGTGGCAGGTGGCTCTCTGTCATAGGAAGCAGTGTTTCCCTTCAGATCAGTCTCTGTATGAAACTCTATGTTTCTTGTGTTTCCTCTATCAACACATCCTGTTTCGATCTCTTCCAGGCTGTTCCTGAGACTGCTGGCATCAAGTTTCCTGACTTCAAATCTGCAGGTGTCACGCTGCGAAGCCAGAGGGTAGGCTGTTCTCCTGGTCCCTTGGGACCCCTGTTAATGTCTTTCAGTCTGCCTGTCTGTCTCCTCATCTGTTCTCCTTTTGTAGCTAAACCAAGTCAAGTTTTTGCCTCTAAAATAAGAAAGGAATTCCGTAAATGCGGAGACACAGAATCTTGGAATGCTGGTTCTGTCCCCATTTCAGGGGCACCTGAACTCGACGTTGTTTGTGACCAGTGTGCCCACTCCGCTGTTGGACACACGTGACAGGCCCAAATGGAGGTGTCTAGTCTGAACGTCGCTCACAGCAAACACAACAGGCCTCAGAGCACGGGTGTTAGTAGAGGGAGAGGTGCCTTTGAGGACTGTCAGGTTGTGCTTTGAAAAAACAGACACACACATAAACATGCAATTTTTAGCCTTCATGTTTCCATTACTTCAGAAAATTGTTTGGGGAGAAGCCCCTGTGTTCATTCTGTTGTACATATTTCACCAAGAAAAGAGCTTTCTCGCTGTTCTGTCGGCAACGCTCGACACCTGTCTCTTAGCGACAGGTTTTGGGATACCAAGGAGGTTAAACCTGCCTGGCCGACAATGCTTTCGGGGGGTTTTGACAGCAAAACCCTGTTGCCCAGTACAAGTGCTTTTATTTTCCCAGCCAAACAAAATAATCCTTAGTTGCCTTATTGTAGCAAAGGTGGAGAAGTAGGTTCCTTCTCTGCCACCCTCGCTTGGCATAGTAATTTTCTAGGTCACTCTTAAAGATTGTTTTATGGGATGTTCTTGTGGTGTCAGGAGAGTTTCAGATCTTGCTGGGAACACCCTGGGGCTGTTGTAGAAATGTGTTTGGGATCACGCTGCTTCGATGTATGGGTGCATGGGCATGTTGGAGACGGCGTGCCTCGGCGAGGTCCCTGCTGGGGGACGCCCCTGCTGGACAAGGCTACCTGTTTGAGTGAGGGGGGGGCTACAGCCGTGGGGAAGCCACGGGTGAGTGACAGGCAAAACTGCGGTGCACGTGGTGAGACAAATGGAGATGTGGCAGATGTGTTCTCCGACGCTAAGATAATTAATGGAGATTGATTTGAATTTTGAAAATTATTAAGTGATGGTTGATATTTTATATTTTATTTACCTCCTGTGGAAAAGAAGCTGAGCAATAACCTATCAGTGATGGAACCATCTGGCAAAGCCAGCAGCCTTTCGTGTGCCAAACAGGCAATTCAAATCCCAGTCTTTGTGAAAATATGTGCTACGTGCTTCTCCCTGTTCTCTTTAATGCTCCCAAAATGTAGTGATAAGCTGAGGCATGGCAGTCTGATGCAGCAACTTTCAGCCTGCAGTACCTAAGCTCCCTGGGATGACCTAGAGCAACCTCTTGTGCTCTGCTTGAAATTTTTAAGGAAATGAATTGGAAGAAACACTGGTTTGCAAATTGAAAAAGAATGCAAATCACTGATCTTGATGAAAAAACAACACTGTTGCTTAGAAATGTGAAACCTGCCTCCAACCTGGCAAAAGTAATTAATTTGTGGCTTTTAGCTGGTCACCGGGCTTCCTTATTCAAGTCTTCCTGGCTTTTAAACCGGGAGCAAATAGACTCAGTTGCTTTACAGCTGGGTGGTGGGAAGAATTAATTACATGAGGTCAGAACGGGCCTTTTGAACTGGTAAGAGATGCTGAGGTGCTCAGTGGTATAGAGTTGACAATCCACGCTAATCTGAATTATTTTACTTAGGGGATTTATGTGGCAAACCCTCTCCACACCAGTGGTGTGGAATTGCTAAGAGTGGGAGCTGACTAGGACTAAGTGAGGAACGGGGATGCTGTGCTGGTAACTTGCACTCGGGCAACATCCAGCGTAAGATGTTTTGCCCGGAGCACATTGGAAAATGATTTTTGAAGGCTTGTGACAACCTACAGTAAGTTCTTTTGCCTGAGGACCTCAAGGGTTCCTCACCTAAAGGCTTCTTTTGTTCTCCTTTATTTTGTACTTTGCTGCCGTGCCTTACGCCTTCATGGTTAGGTGAAGTTGGATTTTGCACCGAGATCAGGGACTCAACCTCTGTCACATCTGAAAAATGTGCCGTATCATCCCCAGGATAATAGCACTTAGGCTTTGATTAGAGATACTTCTTTTTTTTTTTTTCTGAGGATTTACAATTAGCCTGAAAACTTGAGTTAAAATTAATTTATAGAAATGAGTCCTTGAAGGAAAAGTTAGCAATCTGTATTCAACCTAATTTGTTCCCAGTAGTTTTTTGTGATAATAGCCCCGGCTTTTCAAATTCCCCCTGTTGTTAAAGCTTACAAAATCTTATACACAGGCTGAATTTGAAGACTTTTTTTTCACTCCCCTTAGGATTAATGGTCACTTAGGGCCATTATTCTTCATAACCCAAAGTTTCTCCTTCAGCAGAGGCTGAAGAGTAATCTTCTCCAGTGAGTTCGACAAGCTGCCTTCTATCACAATGGCTTCAGTCTCCCATTGTTCTCCGTGGGGCTGTGGCCACAGGCAAAGAAGGGCACAGCCCCCTTGCCCTTGCTCTGCATGGGATTTCCCCTCTGCCTCCTGACAGCACAGACTGCAAGGTTCTCTGAGGCAGTGGGAAGCTGGGCATGATGAAAAGCCCCGTCTTAATTCAAGGCAGCGTATTGCCTTGCTGCCGCTGGGAACAGGAGGCAGTAGCGGATGTTTTGGAAGGGGGTGAACCTTTCGTGAGTTTCTCGAAAAGGAACTTGGGGCCTTTGCTGTTAGTAAAACAGTGTCATGAAAATAACACCAGCAATGTAGTATTCATCCGAAGCGTTAACTTCTGGAAAACTTCCTGTTACACCAGGTCTGCTCAGCTGGCAGGACAGACAGCCAAAGAGCCAGAGGAAATGAGAGATGGGTAGGGAATCTGCAGGGAAAGGAGAGGAAGAGACTAAAGGGAAAGCAGGCAGTGATGAGGAAGGAGAGCTTTGCTGAGGATCTGCCTGACCTGAAGGAATGGAAAAGGGGGGCTGTTGAACTTGGATCTCTGCCAGGGCCCAGACAAACCAACAGTAACCGCACACTTGTGATCTAGGCATCGTCTTGGGCACAGCTGAGTTTGTTTTGAACGCACTGCAGTGTTTCTGTGCCGCAGCATGTTCAGCTTTCTTTTAAGCTCAACCTTTGCCTTTATGGTGTTCAGAGCACTTGACTGTGACATACTTAATATCTCTTTGGTGTGTTTTCAGTAGCTCATCTTCTCTCTCTGCCTTATTCTCAAATGTTAAGTTACGACTTCTTTAATGCCGTTGAGTTGCTGCACCGGTGCTTTTAAGAAGGAAGGTGATGCATGGAAAAGTCTGGATGTTTGTCCCCACTCCTGCACGTTGAGGTGTAAGCCTGTGTTCTTGCTCTGTTGTCCCGGGTTTGGAAACAAAGGAACTGGAAGAGAATTGATTGAGTGATGTCTCATCTGGAACCAAAACAAAACTCTGGGATGAAAGGGGGTTTGTAGAGCTCCCAGGCCATGGAGAGGACTGAGGGATGCTCCAGCTTAGTCGTTCAGAGCCGGCCACCTCCCCCCAGACAAGGCTTCCAGCCAGCAGCCTGACTCCATCTGCTAACTGGGATCTTGGAGACAGTTTGCCAGTTGGACCAATTACAGAAGAAGTAGAGGAAGGAAAATTTCAAGTACAGCTTTAGTACCCATTGATTCAGATGTTCACACTCAACAGCTTTTAAATATTTACTAGCCTGCAGAGCAGTGTTTTTAGCACTGATTAATGAGTCAGAATTTACTGTGGTAGTGGGGGGAATGCGTGTGTGTGAGTTCTCTTCCATTTTTTTTCTCTTGGAGTGGGAACCGGGTGCTTACTACAGCTCCAAGGTGACTGATATTTCTAGGGGAAGATGGGGTTGTATGTATGTGTTTAGACATGTTTATTCTCCATATTTGATCTGACCCACAATTAAATGGCCAAGCACGCCGCCTGTTTACTCTGGGTGGGAGGCTGTTGGCTCTGTTCCTTCCCTGTCGTTAATGCAAGCCCAGACCTCATCGGCTGTGAACACGCGAAACCTCTGTCTGTCCTCCTGTGATCAATACTGTCCCTTCAGAGGTTCAGCTTTGGAAGCAGTTCCATAAAATACCAGTTATTTTTATTTGGATTTGAGAAATTTAATTACTTGGAGCAATTAATAATTTATTTGTTTCGTATTGATTGCACTCCAAGGCGTCCTGGCATCAATCTGATGGAGATCAGCACGCCCTTGTTAGGTAGGAAAGTTTATGTTTCCAGATCTGAACATCCCGTGGATTAGTTAGCGGAGGTATGCTTGTTGCTTCTGCTAGCAATTTTTCATGAGCAAAGTTGTACATTTGGCACTCTACAGGAGAGTAGATGAGCGTAATTTCCATGGGGAGCTTGGCAGAGGTGTGGAAGTAAAGTAGTAGTCTCATTTCTGTGAATAAAAGTTATGAACAAATGATGCAGGCTGGATCGAATCCACGGTGTGGCATTGCCATCTATTTGTTGTATTACATGCCCTTTAATTAGGGCCAAGAGAGTGCTGGTGCATTTCCTAATCAAACTCCTGCCTGTAGAGAATGAAATAAGATGAAAATATTGGAGTGTTTATTTTTAAAGAGAGCGGCAAAGGATACAAAATCGTGAATGAACTCGAGAAAGTGAAGCCGACACTTCTCTCTCTTAGCTAAACTGAAGGGCAGTCGATGTTCAATTGCCGAAAGAAAATGCATCCGTCGCCTTTTTCGTGGAGCTCTTCGGTGTGGGAGAGCATCTGGAGCAAAGCCTTAGTAGGCTCTGGGGCATAGAGTGCTCTGGGTACAGTAATGGGGTCTTTTAAAATGAGCCATGGCTCTGGAGAGGACACTCCATGTCGCTGCTTCCGTTGAATCGTCAGGTACCAAATCGTGTCTCATCGGGGACCTTTGTCTGCTGCTCCTGGACTGATGTGAGCAGCTTTTTCCCCCTGTGTGTGCTTGTAGTGACACGGTCTTGGGTGCCTGTAACCTGTCTGTAACCTG